CAGCGCAGTGTCGAGATAACCAATCGACATCGCGGAAAAAAAGCCACAATACTTTGCGAGTATTGATTTAACATGCCTCTTTTAAGAGTGGAGAAGCGCGTGTTGCATGTGTCATTTATTTTGTGTGTATATGTCTATATATATATATATATATGTATGTATGTATGTATATGCAATATTATTGTACATATCAATTATACAATAGAATGATGCGTAGATATCATAGTCTATCGCATTAAGCAAAAATATAAATATGACATTATATGAAAAATTGAAAAATTTCTTTTTCTTAAAATGTCAAAATATTTTTATGATTTTGTGTACAACAAAATGACAGTAGTTTTAATTTTAAGGCACGATTTTGCGACGATTGCGCATTTATCACGAAGGTAACTTAATTGAAACATTAATTATATTACGTGTATCGGGCCATTTTATGTTAACGAATGTAATGAATTACTCTCACAAAATTAAGTATCGTGATTGAACGTTTCTTAACTAATGTCGGGGCAGATGTTTTTTAACGATCTTTGTCAATAATTCGAAGATCTGACCTTCGTATATATTCAATGTTATATCGAATAGTCTAATATCATTTGAGATTTTTTCATATATCTCTCCTTCTAATGTATGGTGTGCCGAAACTACGCGGATCGCCATAAACAGGCGATTCAAACGCTGAGAATGGCCTTAACGGCGAAGTTGACGGTCTACCTGTCGAAGTGGGAGTCGTACATGGACCACTAACCGTTTTCTTCAACATTGGTGGAGATTTATCAGCTGTAAAAAGAATATATTGCCATTATCCATACATAATTGCCATTATCACACATAAATGCCGCACATGCAAAAACACTAAAGCAGACTTGTGATGGTAACATTAAGTGTTGAAAAAACGCATACCAAAAATGCTTCTATTCCTGACTGCTAAATCAATACTCGTCACCCTATGTTTCCATACTGAAAAACATAGGTATATTAATAATGCTAATATCCTTTTTTATTAATAAAAATAATACCCAAGTTGAAGAATTTCGAATTTGATCTTACCATAGAAGATTGTAATCACAATAACAGCAAATGTTCCTAGCGTATATCTGTGGAAATATATATAATTCACCCATTGCACTCCAGACATAGGGATGAAGTGATTATGCCTTGACACGCGTATGTGCAGCTAAAAAGAGAAACGGGTAATATCGTAATAATAATTATATCTCTGCAATGCAAAAAAAAATGTATTTATAAACACACACATGTGTAGCTTACTTACAGATACATTTTGTTTGGTCAAATCATTCGCAATGAATATTTTTTGCCCTTGAATCTCATCCTGATTATGCATTAAACGTAGTTTATATTGCATTGTAGATTTGGAGATATATTGTTGTGAGATGACGACTACACCATCTGGTACATCAATCTAATGAAAAAGTTAGCAGTGTTATTTCATAAAATAAACGGACAGAGTAAAAAGACAAACTTCAAGTTCTCAGCAAGCATAATCTTGATTAAAAATAAGAAATGATAAGATTTATCAATAACTTTTATTATGTATAAGACATTATTTAATTATGTATAAATTTTAGCAAAACAAATATATATTTACAAGATTTTCATATAAAAATTACTTACAGTGAGATGCTGTAATACTGACGGCAGTCCATATACTTCGACCGTCGTTGATGGCGCGCCACTTTGAGCGGTGATGAATACAATTTCCTTGGCGTCGACATACACAGGCGGTAAATAGACGAGTTCTAAAGCCGCCGATTCAATATCTCGGCTTCGGGCACTGATTTGAATACGGGTGTCTAATATACTAGCGGCTACTGTTGGAGAAGCCATTGATACAATGTCGCAGTAATAAAAACCTATGATAACGAGAGAAAGAGAAAGAGATAGTTATAACCGACGCTCATCTATCATTATTACCATGGAAATTACTGCACAACCGACCTGTCACGATATCAAAACGTGGCTTCACGAGGAATAGATCCCGTACGTCGATTGACAAAGTCGACGAGACAAATTGCACGTTGCACGTATAGGGAAACGCGTTCAGCGTGAATGATGATAACGTACGGCAACCACCTAGACCTCTCGCCAACACATTATTCTCTTTGATTTCCTCATCTTTGCTCTTCAGCACGAGCGGTACACTAAAGATTTCCGTACCAGTGATATTCCTTCCTCTCAGAGGAACGATAGATACCTGTATAAAAAATCAGATTTACAATGTCATATTTCTTTCTTTCTTTTTCATACATAAAAAAATATATTGTTTTAAAACTATTATACTTTTCTGTAACTTGTAATTACCCGTGAAATTGGTAGAATATTGACTTCTATCTCACTCTGCACATGCATGGCGAGACTGTGCTTTATAATGGCCTGGCCGACATTTCGGGCACGACCTATACCGGTAATAGGATCCACCAATAATACTTCAGGCGCGGATGATTGCCAATATCCCGGATCCCCGTCGGACGAGAGGAGCGGCATGGAAAAGCATATTACGTCGCCGACAGTCAGAGTCGTCCTTGTCGGGAACACGACGTCGCCAATCATCATGTGAACGTAATCGAACATTACGTTGGGATACTTTTCGTTGAAGACTTTCACGACCAATTCGCCATTCTCGAGGAATTTCGCGGTGACAATGCTATCGCCCGATGTAATGAACGTTGCTAAATCGGCGCGATTCAACGTAGCCTTGACATTGGCCTCAGCGGCATGGAATCTATTCCCTACGTTATCGTAGTACTCGATAACGTACTCCAATTTCATTCCTTTTGGTAACATATTCAATTCTTCGCCGTTCCGTATACGCAGCTTGGACTTCAAGGAGAGCATCATGTAGTGAATAGGCTTGACCTCGACGAGAACTGTCAATGATTGCCTCAAGTTGTATGCTTCCGTATTCGTAATGGTGACGATCGTATCTCGGCCGAGATTCTCGCCGGCTCTTACGACCCCGTTCTTGTCCACGGTTACGGTGGATCTCGGGGCGGGCGTTAAGGCATGTGACACAACATCTTCCGTAAATCCGATGCCGTGAGCGTTTGACAGAATCTCATAAGCTGTCGTACCATGCTTGTCACGATTTGTTTGCAGTCGCAGGACAGAATTCGGCGACATTAATATCGGCGAACTCGCTGTTGCTGGATCAATCAAGCGCAATTCCTCGAAGATTTCGATCTTTACAAACGTGGTGTAAGTGATGTCGCTCTTGCTGGACAGTACGTTACTCGGAACGGTGACATTCAGATGGATCGTCGCTGCGCCCGGACTCACGGCCCGTGCCCTCAGCGACACTTGATTCTGATATCGGACGTTGATGCCGGTACCCTCGTACATGTTGTGCAAAGTAAGCAGGCTAGAATCGCTCGACGACCAGGCGAAGCTCAGCGGCAGCTGCATGGAGCCGATGATGAGCGGCGTCAGATAATCGGGAATGCCAAACGCCCAAAGGGGAAATGTCGCTCCCACTTTCACCCGGTTCACAGGAGTCGAGATCTTCACTCCCTCGAGATGTAGTACATGTATGTCGGCGCGATCTTCCGAGTAGACTACCACTTTGTTGCCCTTGGCGTCAAGTCCGACGGCGCGGACACGAATCCGCGTCCGACCCGCCGACTTCCCCTCGAGAATCCCGTTGCGAGGATCGACGCGAAGAATATCACCGCTCTCCGTCGAATATTCGATCTCGGCGTTCAGTGGACCACCGACGGTCTGCATCTGATAAATGGTGCCGATCAATATCGTCAGATTTCTCGGTTGTATTCGGAGCGGCAGGAACACCTGCACGGTAATCGTTTCGCTCCGTATTTCGCGGTCGCCCCTCTTTACAAAGGTCAGCTGACTCTCGCCCTCCAATACGCCGTGAATCTTGTACAGTATTTGTTCATAGGGCGCAGTAACCTGTTCATTGGCGGGCAACTGCTCAATCTCGAGGTACTTGTTATCGATCTCCAAGCGGAAATCCAACGCGTCGGGAGACGGCAGCCTCACGACGTGGCCGTTGGTATCGTATAGCCTCAGCGCGGCTGTCACGCACTTTCCCTTCTCAATCTTATTCACAATTTCGACTTCGATTGTAGCAAGTTGTTGCACTTCCAAGTACACTTCCGCCGATTTCGAGGGTAGACAGAGATCTACCAGCGTCATACGAAGCACGCCTGGTCTCCTTGGCGTTACGCTGATCGTTCTCGTCGCATCCATGTACCGAATGTCCGCTATTTGGTTTGAACTGAGGACGAATTCGTAATAACCCGAGCCTTGGCTGACTTGCAAGTACGATTTCATGCTCGAATCGTTTAGAATCATCAATTTGTCGGGGCTAACAACAGTATCATTCACCAGAATCGTCTCTATGGAAGCCTCTATCAGCGGAGTCTCTACTCCGCCTCTCTCGTTCTCGACGGGGAACGGCGGCCATTCCGGCGTGATCTTGAGTCTGTTAAGAACGAGTTTTTGATAGCCAGTGACAGTTGCAAATATCGTAAGAGTACCGTGGTGCTTCTTGAAGATAATATTCTGATAATGAATCTTCGGCAAAATCACATTCACATCCGTCCAAATCTCCTCTATCGTCCCGGAAGGATGTTCCACGACGCCATTACCAGACGGTTTCAGGTTCCATTCGACGTTTAAGCTCGTAATATTGTCAAATTGCTTGCCATCCTCATCCTTGACGATAACAGAGATTCTTAAAGGCTTGTCACTATGCGCGATTATCTTGTCCGCATTCTGTCTGATCGGACAGTTTTCATTGTCCATGAATTCTGGCCGCAAATAGATATATCTGGGCTTGCCGCAAACAATCACGATCGTTTCCGACGCGTGAGTGCGTCGACAGTTCGCAAGCAGAGGCACGTTCGACACCGTATACGTTAGCGCCGTTTCGCCTAACGTCTTGCAAATTACTTTGAAGACAGCTCTATCGAACGGTCCATTTAATGAGTCCTCGTATTCTACCATCTCGACAATCTGCTCATTTGACAGATATATCTCCCGCGAATAATCTTGAGATTTATTCGTCCACGGCAGTGGTCCACCTTTAAACACCACGTTTCTCGAGGATCCCACAGAAAGTAAAGTTTTCTTACTTTCTGGGTGTATCGCTATGAGCGGCTCGTATGCCGATATAGTGACGTTGTCCGTTAGCAAACGATCGATCGCATTATCGTCGTTCACGTTATATGCCACGGTCACGTCAGACGTCCCGATAGAGCGATAATTTACAACAGTTATCACGGCACATGCAGCACCAATCGGTTGTACGTTTTTATCATATGTCCGTACAAAATTCTCATCCGGAATATACACCTCGAGATTGACATCTTTGCAGTCGCTGAAGGGTATCTCTTTGACATCGGTGCCGTTGATCAGTTTCCCGAATAACGCGACATGCAGGTGAATTGGTTCTCCTATAGCCGCTTCCATGTTATACTCGATAATTTTCAGCCTCGAAGGTGATAATACGTATATCTTCGCTGTGTCCCTGTTGTATTGATTCCTCGCCATCGTGACAGCCACATCCGCTATACCCGCCGACAGGATTCTGATACCGCCGTTTTGTGAGACAGTCACTATCGCTTAACATTATATCAAATCTAGAACAAAGTAAATATAAAAATATAACAAGGCACAAACAAAAATCTTTTTTTCTCCACAGTAATTTACAATTACAAGTTAATAATTTTAGAAATATATTTATTAACAAGAAACGGACGTCTTTGATATTTATTTTAACAATATCAAAGTTAATTCACCTGGATTTGTTAACGATGTCCCATGGAACGGCTAAGACGCGAGGTTGAATTACGACCGGTGTATGTATCGTGAATTCGGCTCTAGTAGATGGTTGCGGGTCAAACGCAATCCTCTTACCACGTTTGTCGATTATACCCCGCAACGTCGCCTCCACGACTGTTATTCCGCAAGTTATCGGTACTATGACGGCATAAGTTTCATTTTGCGTGATCGATTTTGGCTCAAAATACTGCTCGTCAATCTTCATGGAGACTTCCACGCCCTCCCCGATATGAAATTTATGATCTTTGTTATCATATAATTCAACAATGATTTCGTGAGTGTGACCCAATACTAATCCCCAGTTTCTGTTTGGTAGAACAGAGAGAGAGATGTAAGCCACCTCGTGTAAATTAACTGTAGCGGAAGGTAAAATGACTGGATACTCCTCGCGGACATTTTTATCGTGCAAAAATACCTTCGTACGTCCCGTTTTAAGACCATAAGCAAAATCACGGTCGTTATCAATTTCCAATATATCGGAATTCTCGGCCTCCAGGTAATACTGGTTCGAGGGCAAACTAATCTCTTCCAAGCGTCCTTGACGAGTGTGCATTATTTTATATTTGAAGCTGTCGTAAGCCATTATTGTTATTTCCGGTGGAATTATGATTAAATTAGCAATGACAATCAACTCAAGTTCTATAAATGGAACATGCTTATATTCAGAATGTGGTAATCTAACAGATACTTTGGCAGTACCAGTCCTAACACCTTCTATCAGAACGATATGACCTCTTTTGCCAATGCTATCTAACACAGCTACACTAGCAGGTCTTTCGTACTGCGACTCCTCATATGTCATAAAGCGTAATACATTAATCGTAGATTTATTATCAGATAATATACGTTTGTCAGTATCACCAATAGCCCATAGAAATTCTATGCCAGCTAGAGTCGTAAACTCGTTTCCCTGTTCGTCGTACGCTCGTACCTCGAATGCTTCGGGTATATCTTCGATATACAATTCTCTTGTGGTAGTAATGAGATTTAGGGAAAAAATTGCATCCACTATAACATCGCATCGCAAGAAGTGACCGGAATTAATGTCTTCCGCCAAAACAATCGCAGTGTTCCTTGTTAATTCTCTAGTTATGGTTTGAATTAACACCGCTGATGAACATGTTCTGTCAAAATTCTCATTTATGGGAATCAATTGTATAACATCCAAACGTGAGGTTGACCTAAAGAAATATAAGATTAATATTAATCAAATTTCATAAACATCATAATTTATTTGAGAATATTCGAAGATGCAGGTATTATTGAAATCATAGACATAGTATATCTAGACCGAGTGTTGAGGAGTGAGAGCCGAGGTTCTAAATTTCAATCTTCAATACGTAGCTGATACAGGCTTTAGTGCCGGTCTACAATAGTGATTTAAGCTCTAAGCCTTAAGAAATTGACCAATCACGATCAAGTATGAGGAGAATACTCGACTGAACCTGTATCAGACTATGCTTTGAGATTGAAATTTGACCAATCAGGACAAGGAAACTTTAATTCCTTTTATCCTGATTGGTCAAATTTCAATCTTCAATACGTAGCTGATACAGGCTTTAAAGCCCGTATCAGACTACGCATTGAAGATTGAGATTCAAGATTCAAGATTAAAATTTGACCAATCAGGACAAAGAAATTTTAGTCCCTTTTGTTCTGATTAGTCAAATTCCAATCTTTAATCTTCAATCTCTTCAATCGACTAATCAGAACAAAAGGGACTAAAATTTCTTTATTCTGATTGGTCAAATTTTAATCTTGAATCTCAATCTTCAATGCGTAATCTAATACGGGCTTAAGGATCGATAGAAGTAACTAGAGTCCTAGATTATCAGAGAGGTGCCAACTCTACTCCCACCATGCCCACCGCCGCCATCTTAACACACAAACGTCAGGGCCGCGTTCGAAAACATCACTCGTGTGCACACTAGCGTCGTTCTATCTTTGTTCAACTTTCAGTAAATAACAAAGATAGAACGACGCTCAGTGCACTACTTACCGTGGTAACAAGAAATTATAATATGCACTTATTTAAACTTTTAATATTAATACAACCACATTTGATTGACAGCTGTCAGGCTGTACGTATGACGTTTGTATTCTAACATGGCGGCTATTTTAATCGACCAATCAAAAAGTGGAACAAGTTGGCGCCTCTCTGATAATCTAGGGACCATAGACATAGTATATCTAGACCGAGCGTTTGCCTTTATTTAAGGAGTGGGGGTAAAGATGCACGTAGAAAAGGACATACTCTGTTTCGTGCCCCTTGCGTTCTCTCTCGCTCGCACATAGCATAGCGCTCACTTTCGCCATGCTACGTGCGAGCAAGAGAGGACACAAGGGGCATAAAACAGAGTGTCCTTTTCTACGTGCATCTTTACCCCCACTCCTTAAATAAAGGCAAACGCTCGGTCTAGATATACTATGGCCGGTATTCATAGTCCGTTCTTATATCCAAGATCGTCTTAAGTGTGGTCTTGGGTCGTCTTAAGTACGTGGGCATCGGCCCCCACTCCTTAAGTAAAGGCAAACGCTCGGTCTAGATATACTATGTCTATGGTCGCCATGATTTATTTGGCCTGACGTCTGACAGCTGTGATGCGTGATACGATGTTTCGTTGTGATGTTTCCATCTTTTGATGGCGTTGATTGACGGCGGTTATGAGAATCGCGGAAAAGAATGAGCGAAGAGATTGTTCGCGATGCGAGATCATTATTCTCGTTTTGAGCATGGGTGCCTAATACGCACGTCAGCGTTATCAGTGTATATATCTGTATATATCGTAGATTTTTCATTTCCTCGCAATGCGTACCTGATTTAATTAGCACTTTTGATCGCTGTATGTTTGTAAAATCCACGTCGGAAAATACGCGGGATGTCCACTCTGCGGAAGAAAGCGAGCAAAAAGTCAACGACAAGGAAAACCGACACCCTTGTAGGAGGTTAAGTGCGCTCTTATCACGTATATATACATACGTATTTAAGTAAATCTATATGCGTGGCAAAATTAATTTAATGTAAGATACTTTAACACGGCTATTCTATACGACTGTATATAAATATAGATGCGTTTATTCAATTTTTTAATAAAATTCGTGAAAATTATATTTTTATATACAAGAAATATGTTATATTTTTGTACATAAATATTGATATATATATTATGAAATTGAAACATAAAAACTGTGGATAAATAATTTACTGTATTTATAAATAATTATTATTTTAATATTTGATAGCGTAGATGTGACCATTGACGACTTTGCTAATACTTTACGAATCCGCGCAAGGCTCAAGAAATCTATTACAAATGTCTCCAATGAAGGTTAGAGAACCATTTACTTGATTTATTTTATATCTCTAAACTATTGTTTGAGAGAAAGTACATAAAGATTTCAGTCGTTTGAATTAATCTCAATGTTTTGTATTCTCATTTCTTCAATATTATAAACATGTGATTTTCATTTTATTATCTAAATTTTATTTAGTAAAACAAGAAGCAACGATACAAGAAGAAAAACCTGCATGGGACAAAATAGACGAAGAGAATTTATTGCAAAGTAATGTAATAGAAAGTAATCACAGAAGCAAGTATGATAAGTATATTACAATAAATGAGTACGGTAAATAATTTACATTAATTCTTTTTTTAGTTATGTCTGGTACTAATACAAGAAGGAATAGGAGAAAGTTAAAATGTCAGGAGGATAATGATAAAGAAGAAGGTAAGTGAAATATTCTGTAATACTAAATAAAAAATGTCTAGAATGAATATGGATATATAGAATATCACTTGCAATATATAAAATGCCATATTTTTTCAATATAATGAATTATAAATTTCCTCTGTATAACAAAACTTTTATTTGTTGAATAGGGATTGATTATCCATTAGACATATGGTTTATTATTTCGGAATATATACGACCCGAAGCAGTAGGAAAGTTTGCACGGATTTGCAAAAGTTCTTGTTATGTAACCACCACTGCAAAATTTTGGTTTCATTTATATAAATCGTAAGTTTTTTTTATTGTTTATCATCTTGCGATATTATACATTAATGCATATGTAATATACTTGATATTTAATTATACTTGTGTTAATATGATATACATTATATAATGTAGTTGCATATTATATAGCAATGTATGATTAGTTTGTTATTTTAGATATTACAAATTTGTACCAAATTTACCCGAGCATCTGCAGCCACAATGTATGAGATTACATGGATTAAGAGCTTGCGTTATCAGGGCATTACATTACAGTTATTTCACATCACTATTACAACGGGAAGTAGACGATATGTCTTACTTACGACAAGAGGAACCACATTCTCTTGTGAAAAGAAAATGCACTCTTATGTGGCATAAAGTAAGTCACAAATAATTCTTTGTTCACATTTAAACTCCTAAGTAAACTTACAGCTGTTTTTTGTAATGTATCTTTAACTATCAGTTTTTTAAACAGTAATTTTTTAACTATATTGGATTTAAATCTTTTCATTTTATGCTACACGATAACATTTAAACATGATATATTACAGAAAGGGAAAATACGATGGTATTTTTATTTTAAACTGAAGGAGATTTCCAAAATATGTAAGAATCCGTTAAAGCAAAATATACAACAATGTGATACTAAGAAAACTGAATTTCTCGAAATGCTGGAAGATGTGGCTGTTAATCCCGAAGAAGGTTGCAAAGTGCTTAGGGTATGTGGCATCATGATATTTATATTTGTATTATAAATTCTCGAGTAAAAAATATTTTTCTATAATATTTCAATTTTCTATTCTTCGAGTAGAAAAATAAATATTTTTTATTTATAATAATTTTAATATATTTGACGATTTGTAGGTAACTTGCTTAAAATATAGTATGCTACCGCCGGTAATCGGATTAGTTTTGCAAACAGTATCTATGAATTTAATGCCCGGCTTTAGAGAACATCGACTTCAGCTTGGATTCGGAACATCGGATGTTCCTAGTACATTAACCAATCAAGTTATACTTCGTGATGTTACCGAGTACCGTATCTTAGATTGGTGGGATCCCACCTATCCTCATCAGGACGCGAACTACACAATCGAATTATTGACAAGTGACTCTTGGGATTAGAATTTATTATACAGATTGTTCTTATATTTTGTGTATGGAAAAATAGAAAAATCTTTAAATTTTATAAGACAAATATATCTCAACGTGATGAATGCAAAATCATTCAAATTGATACCTTTTCTTTTCCAATGCTTAATTGTATAAATAATTTTATTATCATAACAATGATACAAGATATAGATGGAAACAATGCAAGAATTACGTAAAGCGGTTTTTTTATATACATTATAGTATAGAAAAAATATATACAACAAAATAAAATCCCTGGGAATATGTATAAATAATAAATATTCAACGTACTAATCTGATTGTAACATTTCAAATTTGAGACATTTCGTATTTTACTTTTAAAAATTTCAAACTGTTAGAATGATTTACGACTTATAATGGTATAATTGACGAAATGATAACATGTTTGTCATTTCTGAACAGCACATTTTGATACAATTAAAAATTATTGCTATGAAAATCTTATTTCTTAATAGCTGCTTCTACAGCGTCTATTAATTCTTGCAGATGATGTATGTTGGTAGTGGAGATATGCAGATCTTTGATCTAAAAGATATAAATAATGAGACATGGAAGTCTATTTTAATATAAATGTGGGTACATATTTGTTTCCTTACCATGTTTGCGTAACCGTCCACATCCACCTTAAGTTGAATACGTATCTTTTCGTCATCGCTAGTACCCTGTGATTCTGAAGGCAAAATTCCAGTAGATTTGTCGCGAATCTTTTTTAATCTTCTTAAACTCTCCTCAGTCTTTTGTACAGACGTCAACACATCAGTAACGAATAACAAATAACTAAAATGAAAGATCCAATATTTTTATTGCATATATATCTTCTCAAATTTTCTTTCCACAATTATATATTAAATGAATTGATTTATTATTATTTACCTTTCTGTTAGTGAAGACAAAGTTAATTCTAACCAGAGAATAACAGTTTCAGGAATGATTTTGTTATAATCTACATAGAAATTAGCAAGAGGAATTATTGCACTGTTTACATAAGGACAAGGCTTAGTTGGCACATCTCGCTTTGTCCTTCTAAACAATCTGGGAATGTCGCTAACTTGTTTCAAATATGTTACACATTGATCTGAAAGCTCGTTCACGATTTCTTTTGTAACTAAAGGTAACAAGTTTGCTAGATTTTTTGATGTTTCACCCAGAGAATCTGCAATATATATAAATTGATGCAATCAACTAAATAATTATAATATTTTATATAATATCATTTTTTGTGTTTGTTATGCAATATTATACCTTCTAATAATTTTAATATAGCAACATTCTCATTTTTAATTTTTGACTGTACTATTTGTAGAAAAGATGGCAATGCATTTATCAGTTTATTTATATCAGTATACAGATATATTAAAAAATTTAATCTTGTAGAATGCTCTGAGTCATTTGAATTGTTGGTTTCATTTATTATTGGCCATACCTTTAAATAATATAAAGCTCTGGTTACTTTTTCTATATATAAATTTATGTAGCTCTCAATTTGTATTATATATGTATATATATATATATATATATATATAAATCATAAAATATATAAAATATTAATAGAATATAATAAAATGAATGTATAAAAGAAATACATACTTGTTTCATTGCACTTTGACACCAAGTTTGATACCTTGAGCATATTTGAAGACTGAGTTTCCAGAACCTGGCAATAATAACAATGCATTAGTTTTATAAGAAGACATTTTAGAATTACAATAAAAAAATAATTATTACAAAGATACACACTTGTGAAATAATTGGTACAAATAAATATTTTCTGCCCAAATCCTTAGCAGATTATCCCAAACCACATCAGTCGCATGAAGCGAGAAATTATCTTGTGTCAATGAGATCAAACTACCTTTGATCGAGTCTGGCGACACTGGCTCAACTAATACTGTCTCCACATGACCAGCTATCTCTTGAAATCGAATTTGAAAGTATACTGGCAAATTCCATTTCTTAAGAAAACCTTTATATTGTGGATGATTCCTCAGTGTCATTAAAATTTCAGATGTAACGCACTCCGCTTCCATTTTTGTTAAAAATTCCAGTGTAGCTGTATATCTCTAAAATTTTTGCAAAAACTTGAAAGATTCTTAAAATTGATATATTAAAAATAATTAAATTTTTTTTTAATGTATTTTATTTACACACTTTCAACGTTTTACTTACTTTATGAAATAACACTGGATCTCCTGGAGCAAAAATGGATTTTATATATTGCTCAATCTTTTCCTCAACTTCAGCCCAAAAGCTGTTCACTAGAAAATTAAATCCTTTCACAGATATTCTGCAACAATGTATTAATAAAATCCATATGTATTTATAAATACATAAATTAATGATATATTCAATTATATAGATATAATATATAAATACCTCTCAGGATGTAGTGTAATATCTAATAATTGTTTTAGTTCCACATTTAGAATATTCAGTAGTCTGTGATAAATACTTTGCAGACCAAGCGGATCAGTTTGAAGGTTCTCCTCATTAACTATATTATAAATTAATGGTCTTACAAGTTCATGCCTTACCAATTCTTCAGCGTTTGTTATTTTATCAAGGGTAAGGTAAGTTCTAAGGCAACGGATTGCCAAGTTTAAATTCTTCTCACATATACATGCTAAGAATAACTCATTCAGACAATTTAGATACAAGTTTTCCAAGTCTATACTTTCCTATTGTGAAATAATCATTTTAAAGTGATTGATATATTTGTCTCTCAACTGCCATTTTTTTTCTATGAAAAATACATACTTTCTCTTGACCAACTGAAATGTCCGATTTACATCTAGACTTATGAAATTTTAATTGATTCAATTCGATCGCAGCTTGCTCCAAAATGTCGATTTTTGTAGGGTTTTCCATGAACGTTTTCATAGACAATATAGAAGAAAGCTTCTTGACTGATTTGTATACATGTTGTAAACTATGCAAACTTTGTTTGCGTTCTCTTATCTTCAGATTGTCTTTTAAATTGGTTGAGATGGCTGCGATTTCATCATCCAAAGCTTGTCGTACTTGCTGCCAATAAAAAAAGTAGATTGCATATTGTAATGTCATATTGCAATTATATAAAATAACATTTTTATAATTTATCTGATTGTAGAACGTGTGTTGTTAAATTTTTAAGTAATCTCATATCTTCCAAATATATTTTTTTATTTTACCATAACTTCTTCTCTCAACTGCCCAAGTGGCGTTTGCAAGTCATTTATGGCTTTATCAAGCCCAATTAAATTACTGGATAGATTCACAAAATCCGTATAATCTCTATTTATTAAATCAATCATAGCAGATCTCAGTAATTTCAAGTACATGCCAAGATCATCACGCATTGTTTCCAGTTTGCCATTTTTTCTATGATCTTGTAGAAAATTATCGACATCAAAATTTTCCTACAAACAGAGCAGAAAAAGAATAAAAGAGAATATTGTATCTATTTCTTTCAAAACTATATATAAAAGTATTTAAAGAAATTTTTGTCAAACCTGTACGAAATCAAGCTCGGAGAAACATAGATCCTTTGGTGCTTTCGGCAACGTGACATTATTGTTAGACATAATTATATATTAATATATCACAGAATTTGCAGAATCTAATAATAAATTTTCTTTATTCCTCGATATTCAAAGACCTGCTGTCGCTAATTTTTATATTGTGACGTGACAACTTGACATTTCGATTAAGGCCTGATTCAGATAGC